TTCTGTCTTTCTTGTTAGTACCTCAGGTTTTGTTTCCTAGTCTAGTTACTGAGTTTTTCTATGTTTTCTTTCCTAGAATTTTTGGTCGAGAGATCTACAGGGGAGAGTTAATGTTGATGTATTTGTATTTATAATAAAACTACTATTAGATTTTGATAATAATATATGTTTTCTTGAATAATTTTTTATAAAATCAAGTACTGTTTTATATAAATTTAGAGAATAAAATATTATCAAATTAGTATTATCTACAATTTTCTAATTTGGGTCTATCATTAAACATTCTTTATATATAATTTTAGAATTATAAATATAGTATATATTATTCTTATTTGAAGCCAATCATTGTTTAATAACATAACATATATGCTATATACATAATTGTACTTAAGCTTCTGATTAAACAATTTGGATTGTATTTATTTTTGAAAAATTCTTATTAACTAAAATTAAAAAAAAGTATTTCAAATACTAATTCTTTAAAGCTTATATCTAATATGTAAATGTTTTTGTTATATTCTAATTTTTTCTAATTGAAATTAATAAATAATTAAAAAAAAACTCAGTACTATCAATTACATCTATAAATGTATATAATTTCTATAATATATTATTTGTATCATAAGTTGTATCGATTATTATTATATCTAGTTTATTATAAATTAGTCAATATAACCATGTAAATCTGTTGAAATTGAGTAACAAGAAGTTCATTTGGAAAGACTCAAGTAGAGAGGTAGCTGGATCTTTGATGGCTCTACTGTAAAGGCTAGCTCGGCAAAATGGATACCAAGGTCTAGTACCTAGTCCTAGTAGCCAAACGGGCATGAACCTCCAGGTTGGGAGTCTCAGAGATACCACCAACCAGGCCATCAGAATGAACCAAAGGAAAAGGATATTAGACTGATCTGATATACTGATAGACTGGTCGTAGTCCTATACAGGCTATCTGAATTGGGAGTTTGATAAAAAGGCAGGAGAAAAGGCAAGAGTATACTAAAGTACTGGAATTATGTTGTAAAGTAGATGTTGGGGTCTAAGTAAACTCTACAAGGGCATAGCGATTTAATGGTTAGCCCTGATCACAAGTGTTGGTTCTGTCATAGCAATACCTAGATTAGCTGTAAAAATGAGTACAGAAGGCTCTAGAAGGTTTACCTTGAAGATAAATTAGTTCTAAGGTTGAGGATGATGATCTGGTATATCTGAGATGACCAGTAATGTTAATACAGGTTACAGGTTCAGAAGGTTTAAAGTAGAATATCAAAGCAGGGATGTTAGGTACAGCAATTGGTAGGGAACCTTTAGATGGACTCCTTAAATAGGTAATATAGAAAAGTTATATATGTAACCAATTGTACACTCTTCTGTAGTGGTTCATTGAACCACAATATCGATAAATGATTAATAAAAGTCAAAAGACCAAAAAGGTCATCTTAATACCAAAAAAATAAAATAAAATAAATTAGTCAATAAAATAATATCATTAAAATCTAAATGTTAGTATAGATGAATTAAAATGATTTATTATAATTTGTAAATTAAATTCTTCTAATAAAAGTTTTGCAAATAATAAAGGATCTAAATATCAACTATATATCTTCTGAGATTCTACTAACCATCAATAATAAGTCTGTTAAATAAATATATTTTTGTAATTATTAATTTGATTTTTATAAATCTGATAACAAATTTTAGAAAAAAAATAATAAATATTATCTTTGATAAATTGTTTAATTTTAGAAGATGTTTTTACATAACTTGGCTGTAGATGCAATATTTTGTAAGAATATTTGACTACAATTACATCTAATTTTAAAAAATTTTTTATAATTATAATTTTTTCACAATTGTATCTTTCTAAGAAGGTAAGCATATTTTTTTGTTTTTCAAAAACTAGAAGTTTGACCTGATATTTTTTAAGTTCAATTTGACAATTACAATAGTACATTAAAAAAATTGAATTTTTTTTTTGATTTTTGTAATAGTAAATCCATAAGTATCCATCACCTTCTGAGATCAATTGAATGATATAATAACCAAATTCAAGGTTAATAATTCTTTGTTTTTTTTTTCAAAAGAAAATTTTGAAAAGATGAAAGCTCAATGTTTAAATTAATGTTTAATTCCTTATTTTCACTTTCATAAAAATCATTGGTATCATTTAAAGAAGTTAAGGTGTTATACATGACTTCAGTAATATTCATATAATTCATCATTGGTTCAAGTGAAATTCTATTTTTTACATGGATTGTTTTAAGTTTATTTCAACAGTTTGAACATTTTTTTACAATAAAGCCTTTATCATTCAGAAATACATCATAATTTTTAGATATGTGACACCTGTTACAGGTTTTATTTTGTGAAGTTGACATAGTAAATCTTTGCAAGGTCAAAAGAGAAACTCAAATTATTATTATTACTGTCATTACACTTACTAATTAATTTATTATTAAACATTGCTAATTAATTTACTATTAAATGTCAACGATATCAACAATATCATGCATGATACATAATTTTACCAGAAATCAGTATTTGAAACAATACGCAAACCGACAGAAAATCCAGCTACCATTTTTTTGTGGCGATGTTATGTAAGCTTTTTTCAGGGCTTAACTTACTAATGTGAAAATCAGTGAATTAGTTTACAGGTTTTCTCTTACCAACACCCATATGCACTTGAATTTTTTTTCTTTCCACGATATAACCTCTGAACATGTACTAGACCCGGGTCTACTAAAGGGTTTAAAAATTAGTAAAATGAAATAAACCCGGTCTTGTATACGCACATTTATGGTACCTACCTCTACTTGAATATTACTTGAGTGAATCTACTCGGGTAGCTCTGGTCGTTACTCGGTCAACTGTGGGTAACTCGGGTAATACCTGATTCAGGTATAATCTTGTCAGACTTTTATTGATAATATCTCAGATTACATTTATAGTTAATTCTTAGACAGTATTAAAAAAGTAAAATTATAAATTTATTTTAAGCAAAATAATTAGATTTTATTGAAAAAAATCATAAATATTAATATCTTAAAATTTTTTCATTAATAAGAAAACTAATTAAAAAATTTTTAAAATTTGGTTTGAATGAGCTATCTATATTTAATTCAATTTTATAATTCTCATTTTTATTCATATAATAAAATTATTAATTAGATTATACTTATACGTATTATAAACATGCAAAAATCAATGTTTCAGTAAAATATATTTAATAATTTAATTACGTTCTATTATCACTATTTTCTATATCCACTGCAGGTATACCCATTTGCAGCTATCGATGCCACCAATAATGGAGATCCACAAGGAGGTAGACAAACATTAACACCAAAGAGGGAAGTACAACAGGTAGTAGCAGAGCATTTGGAACCACTAGGACAATCAGCTGAAGTGTTGCATTCTGATGAAGATGGACAAACTACATCTACGGCACAGATGCTTGTATGTTCCGTAGTCGAAAAGCAAGCACAGTCGAAATTAGAATTGCAACCTACCGGTAATGTTGATACACAAACTATATCAGGTGAACATGTACATGTTCCTGTTTGACAGTTCTCTTGAGGTGTAAAGCACTGCAAATTAATTATTCAAAAATGTTAAGAGAATGATGCTAATATTGTCAAAATGAGAAAAAAATTAAAATTAAAAATAAATAAATACACACAGTGGTGTTACAAGATCCGCAGTTTTGATTGTCGGTGTTAGTGTCAATACAGGTATTATCGCATAGAGTTTGATTTTTGGGGCACATACATTGACCAGATTCGCAGATCTCACCATTAGCGCACTGCAAGTATAATTATTTGCAAAAAGTTAGAAAGGAATACTAACTCTAATATTATAAAAATAAATAAATACACACAGGAGTGCCACAAGATCCGCAGTTTTGAGTGTCAGTGTTAGTGTCAATACAGGTATTATTGCATAGAGTTTGATTTTGGGGGCACATACATTGACCAGATTCGCAGATACCATTAGTGCACTGCAAGTATAATTATTTGCAAAAAGTCAGAAAGGAATACTAACTCTAATATTATAAAAATAAATAAATACACACAGGAGTGCCACAAGATCCACAGTTTTGATTGTCAGTGTTAGTGTCAACACAGGTATTATCGCATAGAGTTTGATTTTTGGGGCACATACATTGACCAGATTCGCAGATCTCACCATCAACGCACTGCAAATATAATTATTTGTAAAAAATTAGAAAAGAATTCTGACGCTAATATTATTAAAAATTAATACATACAGGGTTGCCACAGGATCCGCAGTTTTGTGGGTCACATTTGATGTCAACGCAGGTATCGCTACACAGTGTTTGACCTTTTGGGCAAACACAATTTCCATTTTTGCAGGCCTGACCACTAGCGCACTACGATATAATTATTCACAGAAAGTTAGAAAGGAATGCTAATACTATAAAAGGATATAAAAATAATAATAAATAAATAAAAAAGTAAGTAAATACATACAATGTTACCGCAAGATCCGCAATTGTTCAGATCCTTTTTGAGATCGACTTTGACACCACCACAATGACTCCCATAATTCCCACCAAGCGCTATGGCTAAATAAAAAGTCAAAAGAATGAAACAGTGGTTACAGGATAGCTTTATATAGTGACGAGAAAATAACTTTACCGCAAAAAATACACAGGATAACGATAAAAATGGTAAACAGTTTAGTGCGCATTTTGAAGTTTATGGTATAAAATGAGAAATAATTGAAAGGGCCAAAATAAATTAGGAATAAAGGTATAACTTAACAGGGCGAATAAAGATGAAGGGATAATTTGAAAGGCGAATAAAGATGAATAATTTGAAAGGGAAATTGGAGGTATTCTTTAGAAATACCTACTCTTTATATAATTTTCTGCTTCGTCTATACGATGTTAATTTATTTAAATTTTGATTGTCAAACCTCTCTAAATGCAATGTTGTGTGTGTTTGTGAACTAGTGTTGCCTTATGCTCATAATACGGTCAAACCTCTCTAAATGCAATGTTGCGTGAACGCACCAACATATTTATCGAGTATTAATTTTTTACCGTATTTGGTAATACAGTCAAACCTCTCTAAATGCAATGTTGTGTGTGTTTGTGAACTAGTGTTGCCTTATGCTCATAATACAGTCAAACCTCTCTAAATGTAATGTTATGTTTACTTATGCTCATTGATATTCTAATGTCTGCAGCTCTATGTTGACATGACCATATGCAAACAATTTGTTCGTGTGTGTCAAGCATTTAGAAAGGTATTGCATTTAGGAAGGTTAAAATCAGTGTAGTCAATTTCTTGTTCTATTGGCAAAAATTATATTCTATCCTAATTTTTATTGCTCCATTCTATTGTTCTAGTGATCTATTTATTTATTGCTATATTAATATCTAATTATAATCTTGTTGGCAATTTTTTGTTCTATTGACAAAACTTTTATCCTATTCTAAATTCTATTGCTCTATTATATTGTTTTATTGTTCTATTCATCTATTGCTGCACTGGTTAAAATCTATGTTGAATTTAGGGTCTAACTGTACTTTTAATGGTAAATTCTTGCTTACAACACTTACAGTTAGAGATACTAGGAACAGAGTAACATGTAAATTTCATAAAGTGTATACTGTATACCAGGAATGAAAATTTTGCGAAGCTTATATAGCTAACACAATAGTTAGGAGGTAGTGATGTGATCCGTTTTCATATTAAATTTAACGGATTTTACTATTAAATATAGTATCCAACGGATAACGGATCGTATCCCTGGTTCGAGGTTATAGGAAAAATAATTAGGTTCAATGTCAACATGTCATTTTTAATTAACAAGGGTAAAATCACCACCCCAAAAAAATTTCGCACATCATGTAAGACTAATAAAAAATTTCGTTAAAAAAAAAAAAAAAATTAGATAACTTTAGTTTAGGGTTAGGGCTTAGGCATTAGGTTAGAGCTACAATTAATTAATGCGTCAATTAGTTCGACATTACTGAATCTTATAAATTAATTTTAATGTCAACAATAATAAAAATGATTTATTTAACCAAAACCCATAGTTGGACCATATGCTAACCGATCACTAGCGCGAGGATTAGTCACAGTCAGCAAAGATTGTGATTGCGCATTTGCAACCAGAAGCATGCTCGCGATTATGCAAAGTGCTTTGGAAGCCATTTGAATCTAATACATTACTCGAACCGTCTCAGGAAAGAGTAGGATCCAATATTTAATAATATGATTTTTTTTAAATTAACAAAAATTTGTACATAACATCGACTTGATTACTATTTGTCACATTGAATCAATTAACAGATATAACATTTTAATATCTGAAGTTTCACACCTAAAGTTGCAGGTATTAATTAGCAGTAGTGTTATTAGTCGACCGATCATCGGTTATCACACTTTATAACAATAAAACATGCAAAAATATGCAGCATATTTCATTGTTCAAAAGTGTGATATTAGTCGACGACTAAGCCGGCTAACAACACTAATCAGGCCTACCGAAAAATTAATTGTGAGGGATTAATTGTCAATTTTTTGAACTCAATTAATTGATTGCAATTTTTGTGTGATGAATTATTTCGTGACGAATAAAGATTCAATAATACATTTAATTAGTAAATCCTTATTTGTTACATATAATAATGATTCATCACTTCCATGTGGCAAATGATAATTCTTTCGTCATTAATTGGTTTCAATTATTTTTTATCAGTACCAGGAATGGAGTAATGAAATTACGAAATGTATGGTTAACAAACAACTAGAATGGCCAGTGTACAAAATCTGGATAACAGTAAGATACATATAGAATACCAGGAACGGAGTGTAGTGTATGGTTATACGGCATTCCAGATTTCAATGTGCGATCTGATTGGTTTATGGTCTAAATTCATATCATAGAGAACAATAATAAAAAATGCATTTATGGGAGTTTAGTATATATTTGTGTCAAAAATTAATGTCATGCACTTAGGGGGGATGCATTTAAGTGGGACCGACTGTACATAATCTCTCTAATTTAAAGCTGAATTTGTGGTTTTAAACGTTTTTGGTTGGTCTAAACGATAAACTTAATCATGTTTGTTGTGTTTGTAAGTAGGTAAAATGTGTTTAAATTATCTTTGCTGTTTTTGGGCATGTATCGATACGTATCAATACGTACGCGTGTGATTTGATATGTATTACTTAATTTGGTATTACACGTTACCGTTACAAATCGAATAGAGAAAAAAAGTTGGGTGACTTTGATTTGCTAAATGTGCTTTATATTTGGTATTATGTGTTACAATATTTAAAATACGAAGAATAGTGTTAGAACTCCACGATATTTGTCACGAAGTACTGGATTCGCACTTGGAAAATGTGTACCAGGTTGGATCCGGATGGTCGTCCGTATAATTAGATCGGAATTATAGTATTATCGAACTATAACGCTAAAGAAATCACGTATTAATTTATGCAAAAATTAAAATTTCACGTAATAAATATTTCTAAGCTTTTCCTTTTGCAAAAAAGATGCAAAGTTCATTATAGATTCGTATTTTAATATTGTAAACTGTTACTTCGCTATTTTACAAGCCAAAGCTACAATATACTGTAAATTAGAACCTAACGAACTATTGAATATATTGAATCTACTTACACTATTTCAACGAATACTTATACCAGCCTACAAGTTTGAGAGTTACGATGAATAGAACCTAAAATCACTTTTAAGAACGCGATAATTGAGAATATTAATATTAAAAAAAAATAGATGCTTGAATTGAGTTCATGGGTTTCAAGAAAAATCAACAATGTGATACACCTGATCAGAACTTTATTCAGTTACATGGATCAAAGTCATTTTTTAAAGGGATGAGATAGTAATTTTAGTAAAACCAAAAATTAATAACTATGAATAAAAACCCACATAATTTAAGAAATAGAAACATGACATTGAAGTTAAAATTTATATAATTTGTCAAAAAAACCCCAAATTAGCAATTAAAAATTTTTTTTGAGTGTCGAAAGTGAAAGTCTGTAGCATTGTATAACGTTATAAAGCATATGAAAATATTGTTTTATTTAATTGAAAAAAGCTTTGTAAAACTTTGTATTAATAAGAAAACCTTATACAGTCTCAACTCATTCTATAGCGAATTGAAAAAAAAGTTCGTTATAAAAAATCGCTATGTTTTTATCAAGAACCCATGACCGAACTATTGTGAAATTTAATATTTAAGTTCGTTGCTTTCAGAGTCGACTGGATATATAATATATATATATATCTGGTTTTTTTTAATCGACAAAATCTTTGAATTGTTAAAGTGATCATCCGGGCGATTATCCGAACCTAACCTGGATACATTTTCTTAGGTGTTTTAACGATTGGTATGGGCCATGAGGCTTGAAGTATGTTGAGACTGACGAAAAAAATAAGAAACGACCCGAATTTATTATGTGTTACTGTATTATTCGATGTGTTATAGTTAGAAATAAATAACCTTTATATTTATGAATCGTCATTGATAAATCTGATTATTATAATATGCTTATAAATACTATAGAAATTTTTTGCTTTGTATTCTTTAATAACAACAATATATATAAAGGTTTTATGGTAATAAAGCTTTATAATACCAGGAGCGGAGTTTGTACAGTGGCCTCCGAAAGTATAAAATAGTTACACAAACAAAACATAAATTCATGCAAATTCATAATTTACATCATTTCATGCTAAATCGTATTATTCAAGTTATTGAAAATTGAGGTTATAGTTGCAAATATTGATGTAGTATTTCAATCAGGTATCGATATGTATTGCAATAATTACATATTTATGTATTGCAATAATTACATATTTATGTATTGCATATTATTAATTTGCTAATTTGCGTGATAATAATATATTATTAAATTTGCTTATTTACAAAATTTATGCTGTTTTTTTTTAAATTTGTTATGTTTTTTTGTGTAACTATTTTATACTTTCGGAGGCCACTGTACAACGTACAACGTAGAGGATTTTTTGGCCAATTAGATCGAAGGATCAGGTGTAACGTAAATTCAAAACAATCGAATTAAGATATTAAAGTAATAAGCATCATCTTTAGAGTTAGGATTAAGGATAAAAAAGGTCATAGCTTACACTAAAATTTCACGAGGAATTTTTTTTATTAGAACGCAGAAAACAGTTTCATAGGTAAAATTTCAAGTTAATAGCGATTTTTTAAAAAGACGTGATTTTCACGTTACATCTGATCCTTCAATCTAAGAAAATCCTTAAAATATACCCGGGGTAGAGGTTATTATCCTGTGTCTCAATTTTAGGTTAGGTTTAGTTGGCACGTGATGACTATTTTAAATTTAATTTATTTATTTTTGGTCATAGGTTAAGAGCCTATACCCTGGGCAGTGTTGTCATGGGACACAGACGCGGACAGCGGACATGTCCGCCAATATTTTTTTGTCCCGGACAATTAAAATTATAATAAGAACAGCCGTGTTAGCCAATCAGGTTGTTCGATAAAATATATTACATGGGACAACCATCACGGACATAGATATTGTCTCCGCACAATTTTGATGGGACAATGTCCGCGTACAACACTGACCCCGGGTACATTTTAAGGACACCCTCAATCTAATTGGCCATGGTCACATGCCAGAAAAAATCTTGTGGGTGAATAAAGCTTTTTGTCTATTGACACATAATAAAAAAAAAAAATGCGAATTAGATGTTTGTGATCAGATAATTATCCTTTCCAGATTATTAAATAATGTTAATTTCTCTATTTATTATCTTGGCTTTTAACCTCGTCATACATTTATTAAATTATTGTTCACTGTATCATTATATCGTATGGAAGCAAAGTGGTTAGTTCTGAGCCGTCTGCATATTTTCATATATTTTTAAGAAAGTTAAATACGATGTTTAGTAACTTATACAAATGTTATTTCAAAAAAAAGAGGCTCAGTCTTAATCCTATTGGATAGATTATAATAATTCTTAAATTAATTAGAATTGTACTATTGCTACAGTTAAAACTAAAGATGAAAAAATCGAGTTTTTTTTTAATCTACTGCGAAGGCTGCGCAGCCTGCACAGGCTCAGTTTTTACTCATTAGATTTCGCATCTATATATATAAAACATCTACTTCATATGTGTAAAGTTGGACTCTCATCATTTTAATTAGTGCTCTAAGGTTAGTTTAAACGTTGTTTTGCAGTTTTTTACTTTTCTCTGCATATCAGTGAATTAATAATTCTGGTCAAATTTGCAGATCATTTTGCCAGATCTAGAACAAACCAACTTTAAATATGGTCAAATGATCTGCAATTTTGATCAGAATTATGAGCGAAGGATTCTATTATTAAAATTATTACAAATAAGGGCCTGTCCGATCTCCGAACTATACTAAGAGACTAAGCTACAAGACTTACGTACATAGTGTCATCCAAAAAAAATAGTAGCCAGGTTTTCTATCATGCTTAATATAGTAATGATAAACATTAGAACTGATTTTATTTTTATTTTCGCTTTGACTTTCATTTTGGCTTCACTTTAATTTTCATTTTGACTCTCCTTTGCTTTAACTTTTGCTTTAACTTACATTTTTGCTTTCATTATGACTTTCGCTTTGACTTTCGTCTTGGCTTTGACCTTCTCTTTAACTTAGTTTTAACTTTAAAAATTTTATAGTTTTGATCGATCATTTAAATAAGCTACTTTTCTTCTTATTTAGTAATGTTAATTTATTTAGTAAATACAAAAGATTTTAATGTCCAAAATGATCATAGCAAACTATATCTTTTTACTTATGTTATTTAATTATATATAAAAATCTTTTAATCAATGTGTTAAAATTCATAAAGTTATAAGTTTGTTAGTGAAATTTATGAATAATACCTTTAGTTTTTTCATGTATAAAAAATTATTTGCATTTTAGTTATTTTAGTGAAAATTGTATAGTTATTATAATCCAGCTACTTTTTTTTTTTAAACAATGCTATATAAGCTTTGTAGCTTAATCTTCTAGTATAGCTTGAAGATCGGACAAGCCATTATTTATAATAATTTTTGATTTTGGATTGTTATATGTAAGAATTTTTATTTGGAGTCCTTATCTGTAATTATTTTCATTTTTGGGCTTTTAAATATAAATTCCTCTTCTATTAATCA